TGGAATAGGGATGGAACTGGGTCTGCCCAGCATTTCACCATCGGTGTGTGTGTGTGTGTGTGTGTGTGTGTGTGTGTGTGTGTTGTCTGACCATTCCAGGGCCAATCCAGAAGCTTGACCTGATCAGGACACGTAGGGCAAGCTGGCTTTGGGAACAGCCAGGCTCACTTAGAGCAACTTTTCGGGAAATAAGCCCCAAGGTGCCCTCTGCCAATGCAGGAGTGCTTTTCAGGCTGTGGCATTTCTTTCATGGGATCAGGGCCTCAGGGAGCTGGGTCAGTCCCTGGACGGCTGGTGGGCAGGAAAAGTAGCAGAGGCCCAGAGACAAGGAAGGGGCAGGGCGGGGATGCAGGCAGGGAAGCTCAGGGGCCTGCTGAACCTCTGCCCCACAGCAGACCCACCTGCCTGGGGAAGGGGGGCCCAAGGTTTATGGGGCTATAACCTCCTCACTGCTCACCCACCTCCAACCAGAACCCTCCCAACTCTTCCTCCCCAGTGTGGTCTCCAGAGGATCTCAATCAAATCTGCCCCACCTCTCCCCTCCTTTAGGCTTCCCCGGGGACAGATTCCAAGGCTGCAGGACCTGCCCTGTCTCTGCCCTCACCCCCTGCCTCACCCGACTTTGGACTTGGCCGGCTAACAGCTCTGCCAGCACACTGGGTTCACACCTCTGGGCCCTTGCCCCTGCGGTTACTCTGCTGGAATCCTTCCCTTGACTGCTCCTCTGGCAAGTTTTCTTTTCTTTTCTTTTTTTTTTTTTTTTTTTTTTTCTTTCTTTCTTTCTTTCTTTCTTTCTTTCTTTCTTTCTTTCTTTCTTTCTTTATTTTATTTATTTATTCATGAGAGATAGAGATTCAGAGAGAGAGGCAGAGACACAGGCAGAGACAGCAGCAGGCTCCATGTGGGGAGACCGACCTGGGACTTGATTCCTGGTCTCCAGGGCCAGGCCCATGGGCTGAAGGTGGCGCTAAACCACTGAGCCACCCAGGCTGCCCTCTGGCAGGTTTTCTACCCTTGCCAAGGCTCTGGGCCTCCAGCCCCTGTGCTTCCCCTGCCCAGCGCTTGTCACAGGGGGGTTGATAACTCATCCATCCCACTACTAGCCATTCCCCATTCAAGGGTAGGGTGGCGGGTCTCATTATTCTGGCTATGGGGCAAATTACCCAAAGACTTCCTGAAACAAGGATTTGTTAACAGATTCCAGGGGTGGGGGATTTGGGCTCATCTCTGCCCCCACGTCATCTGGGGCCTCATCAGGAATCATCTGAGGGTTCATTCATGTGGGGCAGTTGATACTGGCTGTCCCCATGGGAGCCTTCCCATGTGGTCCTTCTGTGTCAGCTAATTTGGGCTTCCTCACAGCATGGCAGCCAGCTTCCCTCAGAGTGAGCATCCACAGAGATGGAGGCAAGTAGAGGGTGGACCCAAGCGGAGAGACTGCTTGGTGGGAAACGTGTCTGGGGCACCATGTAAGGAGTGAGGTTAGGACCAGGGTTTATTTCAGATGATTCAAGTGCCACCCAGTCCAGCAGCCCTGAGCCCAGTACAAGACCAGCTTCCAGCTCTGGAGAAGTGACCAGAGGCTGGATGTCTGGGGACACATGGCCTGAGAACACGCACTGGCATCTGGGAAATGGAGTGATGGGTCCTGCCCCTCCTAGGACATGTGGGCAGACTCTTGAACCTTGGCAGGTCCGGCAGAGTGGGATCAGTGCACATTGATGTGGACTTGCTGTCATTCAGGTGACCCCCTGTTGGTGACACCCTTAAAGATCTCTGGGGTCACTGGTGGCAGCTTGGCACTGACTGGACTTACTTGCTGAGTGCGACAGGGTATCTGGATGTAACTTCCTCTGAGTTTTCCAAGGTGGCTATGCAGCGACTCCCATGGTCCCTGGGATGAAGGCCACAGTCTTAAAAATGGCTTCAGAGGCCCCTCCTGCTCCCTGTCTTACACTAGCCTCAGAGAGTCAAGGCCCCAGAGGCTCCCGCTACCTAGTCAACCATCAACAGACCAAGATGCCCATGCTCTGCAGGCCTGCAGGAGTCAGACCAACGGCCCACCTGCAGGTTCTTGCTCCTGTCTCATATTGGCCTTAAAAAAAAATGTAAAGTTTCATATGCCTAACTGATTTTTCACTAGTTCATTTTACAATGATGACTTCACTGTACTATGTGCTCTCCAAATCCATCTCTGCTCTGTGTGTTTGCACATGCTGTTCCCTCTGCCTGGAGGGTGCTTCGTCTCCCATTTCTCTCTGGAAAGCTTTGACTCACCCTGTAATGTTTAGTTCAGCTATCACTCCCTCCAGGGAGCCATCCCTGACTACCTATCCCTACTCCAGACCTCACATAGAATGCCAAGATTTCTCCTTGTGATGACTAAGATGACTCTTCAGCACACTCTTCCTCAGCGTCCCTTGAAGTCAGGGCCTGGGCCTTACTGGCCAGTGTGCCCAGTGCACATTACACACCCCAAACAGTGTTTGTTGAATGAATCAGTAAAGGATGCATTTTATTTTTTTTTTTTAAATTTTTTTTATTATTTATTTATGATAGTCATACAGAGAGAGAGAGAGAGAGGCAGAGACACAGGCAGAGGGAGAAGCAGGCTCCATGCACCGGGAGCCCGACGTGGGATTCGATCCCGGGTCTCCAGGATCGCGCCCCGGGCCAAAGGCAGGCGCCAAACCACTGCGCCACCCAGGGATCCCTTTTTTTTTTTTTTTTTTTTTTTTTTAAATTTTAAAGGATGCATTTTAAATGAAGCCATCTAGTCTGGTCCAACTTCTATCTCTACCACTTTCAGTCTATGTGATTTTGGATAGTTTTCTTGACTTCTTTGGGCCTCTCATCTCAAAGTCTGGGAGAGTCTGAAAGCTATGTGTGTCTGCCAGCAGTTGTCCATGTGTCTCCATCTAGCAGTGACTTTTTCTTTGTGACTGTTCTCACCAGATACCGAGACTGGGAGAAATATAAGAAAGCACGACATACGATGGGTAACCTGGGACGAAGAGGCAGCATGGGGGGTGGAAGGGGAGCATGTGCCACGGTGAGGGGCGAGGGGCATGGCCTTGAGTGGGTTTCCTCCCTCTGCCTGGCCTTGGTTTTCTCATATGTAACAAGATGGAGGTGAGCTGAAATTTGAAGCCACATAGGCTGGCCCCTGAACCAGGCACTAGTGGCTTCACCCCCGTTGCCTCCTTCTTCGCTCTCTGCCTTCTCAGGAGATCCAGCCACCCCTCCACCCCGCTGACACCTCCTATAGCCCCCACACTCCTGTCTTGGGATTGAGTGAAGTGTGTCTCACACACATGCACACACATGCATGCATGTACACATATCTCCACCTGAGTGTGGCTTTCTGTACTCTCTCTTCATGTGAGGGTCATGTTCTCCAGTCACTGCCCCAGATTTATCCAGCCAAAGTCAAGACAAGTGACTAAGAAGTGGAATCCCCACAAATAAAATCCTTAACACCTGATACCAGAGACTTCCTTCCCTGTCTTCACTCCTAAACCTCACGGAGAGACACCAGGTGCCATGCCTGTTGCTGCCTCAGAGCCTTTGCAATTGCTGTTCCCTTGTGCATTAGCTGTTCTTCCCCTCATCACGGTCTGGCCGCCTCCCTCTCCTGGTTCAGGTCTCAGCATGAATGACACCTGCTACCAAAGATCCTCTCCATCCCAGGCCATCCTGGGAGTGGGAATGGGGAGTGTCCCACATGGGGAACGGGATGGCACAGTCGCAGGTGGGTGTGTGCTGGAGTGGCTTTCTGGGGCACACAGGGCATCTCTGCTCACAGCCAGATTAAAAGTGAATGACATCTCTGTGCTTCTGCTTCCCATATGAAAGCTGGGTACTCACCCAGCAGGGCTGAGCAAGAGAATGTGAGCAGGGGGCACAGCACAAGGCCGAGTCTGCACTGACTGGGGCTGCGGAGACAGGTTGCCCGGGGCTCACGGCCCAGGGTCCTGCTGCCTGGAGCACAGCACTCAGGCTGTGGGAGCCAGGAAGCCAGGGGGTTCAGGAAATGGGTCGAGGCCTCTTCCCTAGATGGGAAGACAGACAGTGTCAAGAACAAAAGGAACGGCCCTGCAATGAGACCACCTAGGCTCATCTCAAGGGCATTAGGCTATGTGAACAAAGCCAGTCTCAGATTACATGCTAGATGATTCCATTTATATAACGCTCTTGAAATTTTAAAAATATATCTAGTCATACCGAGAGCGAGTGGGTCAGTGGTGGCCAGGGGTTGGAGTGGGGAGGGGGTGACCAGCAGGCAGAGAGCACAAGGGAGTTCTCTGGGACAATAGAACAGATCTGTACCTGGGGCGGTGGTTACAGAGAACTAGGTACAAAGGGGAAAAGCGAGTGCCCCCAAGGGCAGGAGGAATCCGAATAAGGGCTGCCGTTCAGTTAGCGGATGGTGCCAACGTCAATTTCCTGGGTTGATCATTGCACAGCGGTTATGTAAGACGTGTCACCGAGGGGAGCTGGCTGAAGGGCACACGTGAGCTCCCTGAACTATTTTTGCAACCTCCATGCAAGCCTAAAACTATTTCAAAATAAAAAAAGTGTTTTTTTAAAAAGATTTATTTATTTGACAGGGACAGAGAGGGAGAGAGAACACAAGCAGGGGGAGCGGCAGGCACAGGGGGAGGGAGAAACAGGATCCCCGCTGAGCAGGGAGCCCGAAGTGGGGCTCCATCCCCACACCCTGGGATCATGACCTGAGCTGAAGGCTCAATCGACTAAGTCCCCCAAGCACCCCTAAAGACGGCTTTAAAAATGAAAAACACTGAGACGACCTCATCTAATAACAGCAGAGCGCACATTCTTCTCAGGCTCCTGTGGAACATTTGCCGGAGCCACGTTATGTTTAAAAGAACGGCGTCCGTGCAGTGTGTACCCTCGGACCACAGTGGAAGTAGGCTAGAAAATCTTAATGGATTCCTCACTGCCCTCCAAATCCCGCTGCAGCCATTGCCGCAACCACGATGCCCAAACGAAAGAAGCAGAATCAGCAGCAGCCAGAGCGGGGGGAGACTGGAGACGAGGAGGATGGGAGTCCCATCGGACCACCCAGCCTTCTGGGCCCACCCCCCATGGCCAATGGAAAGCCTGGTGATCCCAAGTCAGCCCCAAACTGGAATCCACCCACATGTCCACCATCAGTAGAATGGATAAGTAAGTTGTTGTGTGTGCGTGCAATGGGATACTACACTGCAAAGGAAATGAACGAACTCCTGCTACAGGCAACCTGGATGAATCTCACAAACACGGTGTTGAGCGAGAGGAGCCAGACAGAAAAGAATGCAGACTCTCTTCACAGAGGTCCTCCAGGATCAAGGGGACCAATGATTCCACCACTGCTGAGCCTCCCACCTCCTCCCAGGGGCAGAGGCCCAATCCGGGGAGGCCTGGGCCCCAGGTGCGGCCCATACGGTGGTGGCTGGTGGGGGGCCAATACTGAACCTCCTTTTCCTGGATCAGGCCATGGGGGTCCTTCCAGAGGAGGCTTTCACAAAGAGCAGAGAAATCCCCGAAGGCTCAAAAGTTGGTCTCTTATCAAAAATACCTGCCCGCCCAAGGATGGCCCCCAAGTTATGGAAGACAAATCCAACCGCCCCGTCTGCCGACACTTTGCCAAAAAGGGCCACTGTCGATATGAGGACCTCTGTGCCTTCTACCACCCAGGCGTCAATGGACCTCCTCTGTGAGACTGTGCCTTCCCATCCAGGCTGGAAGGAGCCCTCTGACCTAGCGGCCATATATTTCCCTGTGGCCCTGTGACCGCGACTGTGAGGCTGTTCCACCCACCACCCTCAGTCAGTGACACCCACCCCCATCTCTCACCTCCCCCATTTGGGGTCCAGAGTTTTGTCTCATCACTGGTGCCCAGCGTGTGAGCTTTCTTCCGATTCAGCCTCCAGAGACTCGCCTTCAGGACCCCACCTCTGCTCTCTTCAACTGCCTCCTGGATCCTCTTCCCCTTCGCCGATTGACCGCTGAACAGGAAACCTCTTTGGTGCTGTTTCTTGTGCAACTATCTGTCCACCCAGCCCTCGGCACTGCCCTCGATTCCTAAGAGCCCTGGAGCAGTTTCCTGCCATTCCCTTCTTCTAGCTGCTTGTTTTAAGTCCTTTTTATGTGACAAACCCTACCCCCAAAGTTGCCAGTTGCTCTGTGAAACTCACCAGGTTGACCTGGGGTCAAGTACGGATGACTGGTGCAGAGTTATTCCCTGCAAGGCCACTCTCCCTGCTTTTGGATTTTGTAGATCCTGCGTCAGTAGCATGATCCCCACCACTCGTCTGTGATCACTGTGCTTTGTGAAACTGTGCATCCCCTCGTACGTAGCCTTTCTCAGTGTCCGTGGCATCATTGTGACTTCCCAACACTAGAGTAAGTTTTTCTGCCAAAATGAGTGAGGCTCTTGATGCCCTCTAGATTTTCCACACCTCCCAACATGGGAGAATTGTGAAACTTTCCGCAAGACTGGCTCCCTGGTCTCCCCATTCTCCTGGTGTCGGTTTTTTTGGGTTTGACACAAGCCCATGAGATGTCCTCTAAAGCCTCTTACGGGCTATCCTATCTCCTCTCCAGCCCACTTTAGTTAGAGTACGTCATTGTGAGGCCAACAGCCCTTTCGCCTGAATTCTGTGAATCTCCACCTGGCCTACCCTTGAGTGGAATCTGGACGGTACTGTTGCCCTCGTCTAACCTTCTTCCCTACATCCCTGGCACTGGTTGTTTTCTGTGAAAACGGCAGTGAACAGGTTCGGTTTTGCACTGGCCCTGAGGAAATGGGTCAGGAGTTGTGTGGGCAAGAGGGAAGGATGAGAGCTGTTGGAGAACTGAGAATGAATTTTTTTTCTTTTTAACATTTTTTATATTAGTAATAAATGCAGTGGAAACAAAAAAAAAAGAAAATCTTAATGGAGAGATAGTTGAAAAACCCTAGATTCTTGAAGATCAAACAACAGTCTTCTTTCTCTCTTTTTTTTTTAAGATTTATTTATTTATTCATGAGATACAGACTGAGAGAAAGAGGCAGAGACACAGGCAAAGGGAGAAGCAGGCTCCTCGCAGGAAGCCCGACGTGGGATTCGATCCTGGATCCCAGGATCACGACCTGAGCCAAAGGCTGGCGCCCAACCACTGAGCCACTCAGGTGTCCCAAACAATAGTCTTCTCAACACAGGAGTAAAAGAAGAAATCAGGAGGAACTTGAAAATATTTGAACTGGGTAAAACTGAAAACACAACTTATATAAATTGTAGCAAAAGCAGTTCTTAGAGGGAGGCTGGTAGCATTCAACTCATGAATTAGAAAAGCAGAAAAATGGGGTGCGGGTAGCTCAGTCAGTTAAGCATCTGACTCTTGATTTTGGCCCAGGTCATGATCCCAAGGCTCTGGGATTGAGCCCCACATCGTTGTCGGGTTCCTTGGTCAGTGGGGAGTCTGCTTCTCCCTCTTCCTCTGGCCACCCATCCCGCTCCTGCTCTCCCTGTCAAATAAATAAATAAGATCTTAAAAAGAAAAAAGGGGATCCCTGGGTGGTTCAGCGGTTTAGCACCTGCCTTTGGCCTGGGGCGCGGTCCTGGAGTCCTGGGATCGAGTCCTGCGTCGGGCTCCTGGCATGGAGCCTGCTTCTCCCTACTCCTGTGTCTCTGCCTCTCTCTCTATCATAAATAAATAAGTAAATAAATCTTAAAAAAAAGATCTTAAAAAGAAAAAAGAAGAAATAGCAAATTCTTTTTTTTTTAAGATTTTATTTATTTATTCATGAGAGACACAGAGAGAGAGAGGCAGAGACGCAGGCAGAGGGATAAGCAGGCTCCATGCAAGGAGTCTGATGTGGGACTCAATCCGGGGACTCCAGGATCATGCCCTGGGCCAAAGGCAGGTGCCAAACCGCTGAGCCACCCAGGGATCCCCAAGAAGAGCAAATTCAATCCAAAATCGACAAAAGGAAACCCATCTACCCTGAGAAGGCCCTGCTCCAATCTCACTGGTCTTGCACAATGTATTAAGAATTTCCAGGGGCATGTTCCCCATGTTGCTGCAGTGGACATGGGGTTGTCCATGTGGGCAAGAGCTTCTCCACATGCCCTCCCCCCCACTGTCAGGAAGGCAGCCAGAGCAGCCAGCTGTTGCGACCATTGCCGTGGCACACCGGGCTGAATCCGCCCAGGGGTGGTGGCTATAATTCAGTAACTCTGCCACTAAGAAATAGTGCCTGAGGCTCACACCCAGCACCCCTACTGGGGGGAAGGAAGGGTGGGCAGGAGGCTTGATGGTGAACCAAGAACACAGGGGGATGGGGTACTGACTGCAATTCTCACTGCTGGAATGTTCTCCACCCCCTCGCCACCTTGCATCTGCTAAGATGGCCATTATAAACGAATAATTAGAAGGGTTGGTGAAGATGTGGGGAAATCGAAACCCTGTGCATTGTTGATGGGAGTGTAAAAGATGGTTCAAGCGCTGTGGAAAACAGTGTGGAGGCTCCTCAAAAAGTTAAAATTAGAACTATTGGGGCAGCCTGGATTGCTCAGTGGTTTAGCCCTGGCTTCAGCTCAGGGCATGATCCTGGAGATCTGGGATCAAGTCCGGCTCAGGTTCCCCACAGGGAGCCTGCTTCTCCCTCTGCTTGTGTCTCTGCCCCTCTCTGTGTGTGTGTGTCTCTCATGAATAAATAAATAAAATCTTTAAAAAAAATAGAACTGCCATAATGATCCAGCAATCTCACTCCTGGGTATTTACCCAAAAAAGTTGGAAACAGGGTTTCAGAGAGATATTTATACCCCCACGTTCAAAGCAGTGTTATTCACAGCAGCCAAAAGGTGGAAGCAACCCAAGTGCCCATCAGCAGATGGATGGATGAACACAATGTAGTCCAGACACACAATGGGATATTATCCGATGTTGAACAGGAAGCACATTCTGACACCTGCTACCACATGGATGAACCTGGAAGACATTGTTCCCCGCAAAAGAACCCTGTCACAAAAAGACAAACACTGTAGCACTGCAGTCACATAAGGTGCTGAGAGCAGTCAGGTTCACAGAGGCAGAAAGCAGGTGGTGGGTGCCTGGGCTCGGGGGGGGGGGCGGAGTGCGGATCAGTATTTAATGGGGACAGAGTGTGAATCTTGCAAGGAAAGAATTTTAGGGATGGACGGTGGTGGTGGCTGCAAGCAGCATGAATGTGCTAAACAGCACAGAACTGGACACACAAAAAATGGTTAAGATTGTAAATATATGTTACGTGTTATTTTATCAGCAATTCTTTTTAAAAGAATAAAAACAATGATTGAACTAAAACAATCAATTAAGGGGACCCTGGGTGGTTCAGTCGGTGAGACAACTACCTTTGGGCTCAGGTCATGATCCTGGGGTCTTGAGATCAAGCCCAAGAGTCAGGCTCCCTGCTCGGCTGCTTCTCCCTCTCCCTCTGCTCCTCCCCCTGCTCATGCTCTCTCTCCCTCTGTCTCTCTCTCTCAATCAAATAAATAAATAAAATCTTGGGGACGCCTGGATGGCTCAGCATTTGATCGTCTGCCTTTGGCTGGGGGCGTGATTCTGGATCCAGGGATCGAGTCCCACATCTGGCTCCCTGCATGGAGCCTGCTCCTCCCTCTGCCCGTGTCTCTGCCTCTCTCTGTGTGTCTCTCATGAATAAATAAATACAATCTTTAAAAAATAAAATCTTAAAAAAAATAAAGCAAGAAAGAAGACAAGAACACTTAGGTTTCCAACTTAACCATCTTGCAAAGCAGTAGTGCTGCTAGCACGGGGGACTCCGCTTGTGCCAGCTACTCTTAATTTCCGCTTCCCAGCCTGGGACCTCCCAGCCCTGGATCTCCCACCCAGCAGACTCTTCCCTCAGTGAGCAGAGTCCCAGGCAACAACTTGCTGTCACGAAAGCCCACCTGGGAGCAGTGACAGGGACTTTGTGTGTGTTGGGACAGCAGGCTGCCTTTTTCTCCCCTCCGAGAAAACTGCAATAGGTCTCCTGGTTTTGGCAGGACCGGGAACTGGATTCCGGGGGACGTACGAGCTGCAGGCTCCTCCTTGCCCACCGCCTGCCCATCCTCCAGTGTGCGTCTTCCGTGCATCCCTCACATTGGGAGGGCCTGCTCTGGGCCAGCCATTGGGCCAGGCACCGCGGACTCAGGGGCGCCCCAAGCCGACAAAGGCCAAGCTCCCGGCCGGCCGTAATGGGGAAACAGGCAGACAGACGGACAGGCGCATCAACAAAGGAGCCTGCTCATTCTGGGTGCAGAACAGACGCAGACGACGGCAAGCAGGGTGAGGGACGGGGCAGGGCCACTGTAGGCCGCCCCTGCCTCCCCGCCCCTGCCCCTGCCCCACACTGTATGTGCCCCCTGCCCACTGGCGGCTCCTAGCCCACCTCCCCCCCACGCACCCCGGGCCAGAAGAGCAGCCTTGAGGTGTTGCCGCGGCCCCCCCACTGCGGCCTCCCCCCGCCCCGGGAGGGACCGGGCCTGAGGGCTCTGATCCTGCAGCTTCCAGGGCCCCACGGCCCGACCCGGGGTCGCAGCTGCGGAAGGCGGGGCGGGACCGGCCGCTTGCAGGGCGGCCTTTCTCGCTGCGGCGGCGCCCCCTGCCGGGAAGGCGCGGCTCCTGCAGCTCCCCGGCCAGCCTCCTGCGCGGTCCCTGTGCCGCTGCCGGTCCCGCAGAAGGGGCCTGGGACGGGCCTGGGACGCGCCCGGGAGCTCCGGCCTCCAGCCTCGGCCGGGCCCACCCGACGCCCGCGGGCTCGCCTCCCTCGGGGATGAAGACACAAAGGGGAATCTCTCATTCTTTTTATTTTTATTTATTTATGATAGAGAGAGAGAGAGAGAGAGAGAGAGAGAGAGAGAGAGAGGCAGAGACACAGGCAGAGGGAGAAGCAGGCTCCATGCAC